ACAAGAGGTGAAGTGAGAAGATCTCAGTAGTAGAGGGAAACCCGAAACTTGCCGTTGTGGAAGGAAGGAAAACAGGCATCAGAATTCTCTGCAGCAGGAGGTGAGAATATTATGTATTCTTTATCTCAAATATCAACTAGTCCGGCATACAGGAGGGGCCAAAAAAGACACTTCTCTTCCTCGACTTACAAGGCGATATAAATTGCTTATTCTATTTCACCTAGAATCTTCGAGTGCGATGTGACTCCTAAGGGCCTACATAGCTGCATGCGGGGGGTGTACAGTTCGGTGGATTCATAATCTATAAAACCGATCAGTTTTTTTCAAATGGTGGGAAATATTTCGTTAAATTCTGATTGGGCATTTTCACCATCAAATTCAACAACGCATTGCACACGATCACGAAACTCCGCCACAGCCTTCTGGACGAACGCCATCGAGAGATTCTGCCACGCGACCGTGATTCGGTGCCTGAGTTCAGCGAGATCGTTGATTTCTCCGCCACTGTAGACCACCCTATTGAACTCCGCCCGAACCGGGTAATTGAGGGGGTTTAGGTCAGGTGACACACTTGGATATTCCGTCTTCTTCAGGTACTCAACGCCCTTCGATTCCAAGTAGGCGAGAGTTTTTCCAACGCTCTTCGATATGTGCTGGCACCCAATCCTGTAGCAGTACGAAGTTTCCAAGATGGTACAGGCGACGACATGAAGGCAGGATATTCTCCTCGAGTTGGTCGATGTAACCGTCAGCGTTCACTTTCAGTCCGGGGTCCACGAAAAAATATTGGTCTTCCCATTCCAGGAACTTCCGGTCCATACCATCAACCCGCGCCTTGGCGACTGCGGTGAAGATGATATCCTGGACCGTAGCGACGTTGTCGGAGCTGCTCGATGTTGGAGGTCTTCCAGATCGAGAGTGCTGGTCTCCAGGTAGCTATCCATGGGTGACTCCATACAAGAAGTTTCGCAGCTGTTTGGAGGTGACGTGAATTCCATAGGCCTTTCTCAGTCCGGCTGCGATTGGAGATGGCTTCGTATTCTAACTCGTATCCACTTCTCTGTCTGGGCTGCGTAAACTTCACTGATATGTGACTCGGCCAAAGCGTTTTTTTTTGCCGCCCCCCCGACCTCCTCGTACACATGTGCGACTATCGACTCATATCGGAGAAGCCAGTAGGCGCGCATTCCGACGAATCAAGTGCGCATATTTAGTTAGGTTTTTAGACCCAATGACCCAAGTACGACGGCCCTTTTACAACGGTCCGTGAAGCCGAGAAAAAACCAACTGATCAAAAGGAATTTTTCTCCCTGTCCTGGCGACCAAATATGACCCTCCCCCTCTATTCCCCCCTCTGTTGGAGATGCCCCAACAACGATGTGCCCTGCCGAGAAACAGTAAGTCCCGGTGTTCAGGGAAAAATTTTGCAACACGAAGAAGTTGCTCCATCCTGCAGCGACCGAATACGGCCCCGTTCCTGCTTTGACTACCCATCGCAAGAGCTCCCTTGTCACGACACGACACAGACCAGCATTGCTTTCAGAATAAATTGAGCTCGTTAGGCTGTCACCATCCTCTCCTCTCGTTTTCGCGTGCCACTCACGTATAGATGTTCCTATACAGTAGTCATCAAAACTCAACTTACCTCTTTTGGATCGAAGGCGAAAGCGTAGAAGGAATCCAAGTAGATGAGAGCGCAGCTCCCTAAAAAAGATGTTTACGACCTCAATCCACAAACGGAACTCATAGAGTGCATATTCCAACTCAGTGGCAATCCTAGTATTAAGCCCTTCTCATTATCGCCCCCTCCTCTTTGCCCTTTTTTATGGCAAAGAGGATCTACTGAAGAGGATGCATAATTGTAAACCTGACCCGACCATGCTATCCCCACCCATAGAGTGTGCCCTTACTGAACTGATTCCACAGAAGGTAACAGATAATCTTCATGCTACTGTAACGATGTGTGGTGAACGATCCAAAAAATTGGAAGTTGGCAATAAGAGATTTATAGTAGCGTAATAATAGATTTTTGGAAAGATCGCTGACCCCACATGATGGGCTAGTAATTGTTAAAAAGCTAGCTCAAAAGTGTGGTTATTAAAAAGCTGCTGACGTACTTCTTCCGTGGAACGTAACTGGAACCACAATGGATACTATCCATATAAGAGCGATAAGGATAGTTGTATTGCGATCGCTGAAACCATGGATGTATCAAAATGTTCGAAACCGCAATAGCGTGATAGCGTGACTATTTAGCCCTAGCCCCACTACCCCCCCCCCCTTCCCGCTCGACCCCAATTTCTCGGAAGAGAAAACTAATAATGGAGAAGGGAAGAAAAACTAACGAATATTCTCTTGGAAAAATGGGTAAAGCTGGTAGGAAGCTGGGGAAATTCAGGAGGATGGGGGATGAGGAAGGGGACGTTTCAGTGGGGAACTTCCGAGAGGAGGGTATTTCTTTGCAAAAACTCTGAGAATTTTCTCCAACGGCAGGGCGCGCCCGGCTCAGGAGGAGTCGCATTTGAGTAAGTGGGAGGATACTGTATGAAAAGGGGTCGCTTTTTGAACACCAACCCCCTCTTTGCGGCCGATGAGCTTCGAAAGTTATTGGTGACTGAACATGTATGAGTTATGGCAAGTTATGGAAACCAAAACTGGGGTCGCGGTGTAGGGAGATTGCGTGAAATAATTAACTTTTCTCATCACTAGAGGCGAGCCGTATTTAATACAACGGTTGTTGGATGGTATACTCATTTTTGCCAGTTATTTTTCTTAGTTATAGCCAGTTACTCGAGTGAATAAAACTCATACTCTCCAAAAAAGCATTATGTTATTAGCTTACCTGAAGTGGTCAGTGTATTGCAATGGGAAGAAAACAGCGGACATGCGATTGATGGCGATAACCAAGTGGGAGAATATAACGATATCATAGCAGACCAGGAGGATTGCACCAGCATAACCAGAGTTGTCCTTCATGACGTTTATGTCACTGAAAAATGGTTATTTATTTTTTACATGTTTATAGATTTGTTTGTTGGTAATGTCCGTTGCTATATTGGGGTATGGAGAATTGTGGAATAAACCTAGGGTGGGCGGGGGTCTTGATCTGTCACGCGGATTATTTCAATGCTCTGATCAGGTGTGTATGTACAGCTGGCTTGTACGGTTCACACTTCCTTGTAAATTCCGGTGCCTATTGAAGCAGCTTCCTACTCAGGGATCAACCCAAAGTTAACCATTGCATCAGGAAGACTTTTCCTTCTTGCAACAGCCCCTCCCTCTCTCTTTTTTCCTATACCAGCATGACCGAGTGGAGTTGGGGCGAGTAGTAGGCACCTCCTGTCAATCATTAGGAATAAATAGTAACACTAACTGTCACATTCTGGGTGGATAGAGTATATGCAGTGAGCCAGGAACTAAGAAACTCTACAATCAAAAGTTCTTTCATTGGACCATGTGCGACCCCTTTCCTTCAACGACCAAACGCGCCCTGGCCTCGACGTTCGCCTAACACTCATTCAGACTGAACGTCGGATGCTCTATTAAAACCATAACAGTACTTACAAGAAGACCATTGGAACGTAATAGAAGGCAAACATTGCGCAAAGAATCATTTCTCCAGTAGATTGGCTGGCTGTCAGTCGTCCAAAGGGATTGTTGAGCGTCGGCAAAGTACGGCAGAAGAGCGCCACCAATGCGTTGCAAAATGTGCCAGGCAATGCTATCTGGAATCACTTTCAATATTTTTCTTGTCCACGTTTCCAAGAGGATGAAGAAAAAAAAATAATACAGCTCGTAAAGCGGCGAAGGTGGATAGTGTCGCGCTCATCGCGCTCTTGGGTACGGGTTGAAGATGCGCGATCGGTTCCTCAAAGGAAACCGCGCTTTTGACCGCCCTTCTCCGTTAAACTGGTAGCCAGCATTCATGCTAAGGAGGATAATAACACTGCCTTGTACAGTCGGCGGCTGGCTGTAGTAACCATTGCATACGAGGACATCGCATACAATATGTCTCTACATTCTGAATGGAAGTAGAATGTGTGATCTCCCCAGAAAAAGAGATTAATTAAACGATTGATTAAGCGATTAACGATTGATTAAGCTCTATAAGTGTTCGCGGCATGGAACGGCAGTTTATTCGATGTCTCGGTACGCTCCACGTTCTATGAACTGGGTCGGGCCTGAGACCCCCTAATCAATTCTTGCCAGCCCTTCATTGTTAGTCCATTTTCTTTGTTAGTCCATTTTGTGAACAGATCAAAATTCCTACAAAGTCTTAAAAATGGTCTCCGCGACATTTTAGCTCTTTTTATTCCAGCTGTTCAATGTCAGAAAATATGGAGAAACCACTGTAATCTGGGAAGATGAGGATTTTACTTGAGTATTGGGGGGAACGGAAGTTTGGGATTGGTGAATCATCTGGGCGAAGTGCTCCGAAAATGAAACTCCTAACTTCCGCAGTGGAAATTCCTAGTTTGACAGAAGTGTACAAAATGTCCCTTGGATGGAAACTCAGCACTTTGCCTCTCAAAATATCAAATTGAAATGCCTCACCATAAAAACGATAATTGCGGCTATCTGTCGCTCACGAATAGCCACTGCATCCTGTCCAAAATCAGCGGTTGGGTGACTCATCCTGATAACAACAAAATATCAATTTATACTTTTTTCCTTTGTAGTCAAAAGTCCAGCGGCGACAAACAGCGAATTCTTTTTGATTTTCTTTGTTCTTTGTAAAGAATGATGATGAAAGAAACTGTAGCGAGGAAAATATGAAAAATCAGATTGTTCTGTTTATGCATTTTTTTACTTCTTGGGTCGACAGCTGAAGAATAATTGCCGCTGTTGTAGGTAGGCATTCTACTACAGATCTCTACCATTGTTATTACATCTGTTTTTGTTGATAATTACAGTAATTTTCCCTGCAAATGAACCCAAATTAAATGCTAACTAGCGTTTATTTGTTCGGATGTTTTCTGAAAAAGCTTAGGACCGGACATCACTCAAAGGCATAATAGGCGGTAACGATGAGGTAACGGAACCAAAATGGGAGCCTGCAGGTGCAGTTGAGACAAGCATTGAAGTTTTCTCTTAACTGATTCTGACCAATATTAGCATACCGCAAAGAAACACTGTAAAGGTTGAGGGATGTCTAGACAGTGGCGTCTACTCTTCCAGCTATTGCGCTCGTAGGCTGTCTTCTGTATCGAGAGGCGTGGGGAAATGTACGGTAGCGTGCAAAGATCAGGGTAATCCACTGTCGCGCGCTTCCTATCAGGTCTGATAGACTTTAGTCGCGCATGGAGACTTCGTTTTCCCCGGGATGGTGAATAGCGCAAAAGTAGAGAAAAACAAAAAATCCACCCGAATGCCCCATGTAAAACCTATGCGAAACCGCGCTGATGCGTACATAACGCGAAGAGAGGGTGTGGTTGGACGAGTTTTCACGTGTCGGTGTCATCACTTTTCCTTGGCACTTCATCCTCACCGTTGGAAAGGGAGAGACCTAGTATCAAACAACCACCCACCTGAAACCGTTCAAAAATGAAGTAGGATGTTGCGGTGGCCAGAAGGCCGGGCAGTGGTTTCATCGCAAGCCAGTCGGGCTTTCCTTACCTAGTTTCGCTGCGAAAGCAGTACATTTTCCATGCTTGCCGACAGGACTACCCTACCTAAATAAGGCTCCTGAACATAATATGAGGGCGAACGTCCCATTAAGCCATTGTCGAGACAAATTGTTGAAGAGTAGTGGGATTTAGCACGCCATTTCCATGTCTAATTTGAGATTTGGGGAACTTCTGAAGGAATAGACGACAGGAGCGTAAGGAGACACCTTGGACTTAAAAGAAAAGGTGTGCCGAGGACATGAAGTTAAGGGCGAACGTGCCTTTAGGATGCGCTGTTTGGGACATGATTGTTGATGAGGTACAAGCACGTCAATGCCACCAAATTCGCAGTTTGAGGGCATAATATGTGAAGCTCTCAGAAGAGCAGACACCTCTGGGGAGTAGTAGAGGAACCAGGAGAAATGGTAGAAGACTCCCAGACAGTGCAAATTTTCATGCCTATTTCAATAGCTTACTTGAAACAGTGGTCGCTCGCAAACTGGTAATTAAACATCTCGCTCCTACCGCTTGTGGTGATGGAGTTCAAAAATCAAAGTGGGAGTTTCGTCAACACGATATTGTAGCCACAACCAAGGTGTTAGAACGAACTTTAATTGGATGAAGTCTCGACTATGTACTCGCTTTTGTCTTGTGACTCTATCCTCAAAGCTCACATGATGCTAAGACCTCCCTCGGTGCCAATGTCTATGGACAGTAGACTATAGAGGATAAAGTAGGAAAGTCGTCAGTGGCTGACAATGAAGGAAGAAGCAAAAGAAACGGCTGAAAAGCTAAGACAGGACTGCGTGGCAGGACGAGTTTTTGCTGGACATCCTGACTTTTAGAGAACTGATACGGCTCAGCACGCTGGCATTCTAAGGCTCAGCAATTACTTCTCCCTGCGATGCCACTACAAATGAAACGCATACTTGGAAGGAACAAGGAAGCAGTCGAAAAACCATTGTAAAAGCTTCGAATGACTGGGAAGCCTGGGCGCAATTCGGCAAGGGGGGGCATTCTGCATTTTTGTTGCTTCGCTACATAGTTCCGGTTTACAGGTCTCACTCTGGTGAAACCTGTGAACTCTTAAGAAGCTGGCAGCAAGCTCGTCAAGCCATCATGGTAAAACCTGTTTCAAAGAAGAGGCTGTCTAGATGGGGCCCGACGAGTAGAGGGGAAGTATCAAAAGTGCTGAATGGCTCCTACACTCCGTCCCCGAACTGTGCCGAAAGCCGGGTCAGCAGGACTGGTCAACGGAACTTGAACCGTCAGAGCTACCTCTATTAAGCACATGCTTTCTATGAATTGGTAAGGTATCCAATGGAATCACGCTTGCATTGAGAAGCGGAATGTGGTGGTATGACAAGTGGTGCGCTTGCACTCCACGCATCCCACAAAGGGATTGATCAACGGCGAAGACTTCATCCTTTTATCCTTTTACCTTGCTGAATACTGCTCTTACCATTACTGGTCCACCGAACAATAATTACGGCTAGAAATGACCATTCTTTGTTTTTTGTTCAATGTTTTTTTACTGTCGTACAAAACACTACATTTCTCATCTCCTTTCTCCCGCTCCTCTCTCCTCTCCTTGTTTTGAGTCGCTAAAGTGGTACCGTCCCTGCTCTAAGACAGTACCCGCGCTCAAGCAATTTGTGGGCGTCCTTCCTTGTACAAAAAGTCTGGCTCTCATTCTCTGAGACTGTTCCTTTTTCGCGGCTTCACAGAAAGTAGCGAAGGCGCTACGGCGCTCATAAGCGGCAGTTCTGACGCCTCCCTAGTTGCCCCGCCCACCGAAACTCAAGGGCAACTTCTGTCCCATATTCCGTTTTCCGCCCGTGTTTTTGGTTCTTTTTTCACCCGGTAAGATGGTATTAGCATTGGAAAAAATGAGAGTGAAGAAACTAGCAGTAAACTAGAAATGGCAGGATATCGCTTGATTGGCATAAAACGGGTAGGTCCGGAAAACTCGTACAGTGAAGCTGCCAGGAGGTCCTTTGTTTTCTATGTCTTTTTTTGCTTTTTTCTTCCATACAAAGTCCTTGGCGGTGTTTTCTATGTCTTTTTTTGCTTTTTTCTTCCATACAAAGTCCTTGGCGGCTATAGGTTCGTTACTGGACGCCACTGCATATAATGTGCAAACGCGGGGTTTGTTTTCAAGAACGTCGCTACTTGGTGCGCGTGGACAGCTAATCATGGAATTTGCCCTTGACAGTAACTATCTTTGGGTACAGTTATTACGAGTATCAAGTGAACGCTCCAGGTAGGCACCCTAGCAGCGCTCAATTTTTGCTGTGCCAACTCACCCCTACTAGCCATGTGTGAAGGACAATGACCGAAATTACCGAAGTAGATGAATCCTCAGCACGGTTCGGCTTGAGGTGAGCATTTTGTACTTCCTCTAATTCCATTGTCGTGTCGAGCCAACTTGAGGTTTAGTATATCTTGTGAAGCCATGAAGTGGTACCAGCCAACAGTAGATAGCGGAAATGCAAAGCCCTTCCCAAGACGTGTTTCCAAGTCCTTTGAAAAAGAACGACACTTGATCTTTGAACTTGTTTGTGGTCAATGTGGAAAGAGGGCGTTCGTTGTGCCAAACCGGTCGATTGAATCCGTTCATGTAAACCCTTGACGAGCCGTGGGCATTTTAGTGGGTGCCACACCCTTCCAACCTCTGATAAGGTTGTCACAGCACTTTTAAATTCATATACAGACACAACCCAACGCGAACCTGCTTGGC